AACCAAAATCACTGCTAATGGCCCTTCTTGGGAGGCCAGTTTTGGGGTACTGGTACCCTCCAGGGTAGCTTAGGAGTGTGGAGAGGGAAGCACTCCAGGCACTTGGCAAGACGTACTCCACCCTGTGAGCTCCAGCTCCCCGCTGTTGATAACACGCTCCTAGAAAATTATAAATGGGAGTCCCCAGTTTGTCTTTCACTCCTTTAATTAATAGGGTTTGAGCATTAAAACTGCTCCCCCGGAGCCAGCGATAGGCCCTTTGCCACCAATTCAGGCCCCTCGCCACTAATTCTGTCATCCTGGCAGGTCAGCGTAAACACCCCATATTTTACTGCCATTTTTAGATTATTCCCCTGCCTTGTAATTATTTTCCCGGGGGACGGCGGGGGATTAATTCCAGGCGCCCGTGCCTCCGCAGATGGTGGCGTGCCCCAGCACCGAGGTGAAGCAGAGCATCCCCTGGCAGCGGAGAACGCCGCCGGTTCCAGGTCCCTTTACCCGCTGACGAGGAAAACGTCGTTAAGCTGGGCCTGCGCTCCTCTTCCTCTCCTTTTATAAAGGGAAGGGAGGAAGGACTCGCTGCTGGGTCAGCCCTGCCTGGGCCGGCGACGCAGTCCCCTGGGCGCAGTTTTTTAGAAGGAGGACCGGGAGCCTGCACGCCCCGTAGCAAGCAGCTTCGGGGGTTGCCCTTGCCAAAAGGAGGGAGAATCATTTCGCTTGTAGCTAAAATACCCCTTTTTGTACGATTTATCTATATGATTTAATCTCCTGCCAGGGCTGGGAGTCAGAGCACCTGCGAGAGCAAGGAAGCACCGCGTTTTTCTTTGGGGCCGAGATGCTGGGAGCTAAAGCAGGGTTTAAAATCCACGTGGCTCCGGGAAAAAAAGTCAGATAGCCTCCATCCCTGGTTCCTCGCTCAGGCCCGCTTGGCAAGGCAGCCTTTCGCTTCTGCTCTTCGGCTGAGCCCCGGGGAAAGTTGGGCGAGTGAGTCTGGTGAGCCGGAGGGAGGGCGGCACAGATCGATTGGCGAGTTTAATAGGATCAGGTCAGTGTAATCCTGTTTTCGCCATTGTAATTCAGGCAGCCAAGGAGACCTCAAACTATAGGGGAAGGGGCTTTTAAAACCTCAGCGGTCCCACCACAAAGCCAGAGGCTGGGGCCGGGACAAAAGCGGGGGAGAGGATGAAGTGGCTTGAAATAAATAGATTAGGGCTTTCTATGGGCCAGGCGTAGCGGGAGGGAGAAAAGAGCAAGCGAGGGGTGGGCGAGCATCCCGCGGGGAGGGGGACGCGAAGGGACCTCGCACCCATGAGGGGCGCGGGGTGGCTGGGCAGAGCATCCCCTCATGCCGTGGGGAGACGGGTGGGTTTCTCCCCACCCCCCACCTCGTGCCGCGCGTGTTTCCGAAGGGTTGGGATAGGCAATCAATTTTTACGATGCAATTTATAATTCATACAGGTTGTCTCCGTACATATGGTGTTGCTTTTGTGTGTCAGGGTGCCGGGTGCTTTATGACGGTGACGGCGGGAA